AACATACTAGATATTTGATACCCAAAGTATTAAATATAATAACTATAGCAGCCCTCCTTCTCACTACTTTATGACCCCAATAACTATCCTATTAACCTGTCTGGGGCTGTGATTCTTTCTTCAGGAGCATATTTTGTGTTTGAGAGTTTAAAACAGATGATCTGTTTCAGATCCCTCTAACATTTGACAAAGAGAAGACATGATTTATATTTTACACTTCAGTAGATTACTAGGTTTCCCCATTGAGTAGCGTCCTGTAGAGAAAAGTAGTATGCTGATTAGAGCTGGTACTTCTCAGTTTATAGGAACTAAGGCTTACCTGATATATGGGATCTGGAAAGCGATTTCAGGTGAGGATTTAAGGGCTGAGAATAAATCCTTTGAAGTCTGTGAATGGGAGTGCCCCTGTGTAAATCCCCAGGAGAGCTTGTGGGACTCAGGTTTTGCATTTTAAGTCCACAGGAACATTCTAAAAGTGTAGAGCCCTCAAGGTAGGCATTTAAAGGAAATTACCATGGTGGTTTGTGTCATGGAGCAGAGGCTAACAGTGTTCTGACGTTTCTGCCTGATGTACTTACTGCAGCCTTTTTATTTACTGCACGTGACTAGAATTTCTGGGGTATTTTAGTACATTTAATGTGTAACTCACACTAACAGTACAAGTGTAAATGAGAATTTTTACAGAGGAAGAAGGAACATAGTTTTTAGTTATACCATAAAGGGCAGCTATAAATGAGACTAATTGTACTTCATGTTCCAGGAGATATGTTTAAATTGACTTACTGTTGGTATCCAGCTGATCAGATCACTTCTATAAAAAGCTTTCCTTTAATAATTTAATCTTTCTCCCCAAAGTATTTTAACTATAGTAAAATATACATAACATAAAAGTTACCACCTTAATCATCATAAGTGTACAGTTTAATTTTGTGTGACAATCACCACCCTGCATTTCCCTAACGCCCTAATTTATCTTTCAAAACTGAAGCATGAAACAGTAACTTTATTCTACTTATCTGCCCATTCTACTTTGTTTCTATGATCATGAAAAAATTCCTTTATTAGTGAAAATTGTTATTTGTCTTTTTTTTTTGAACTGGTTTATTCCACATGGAAGACCTTCAAGGTTCATGTCACAGAATGTCAGAAGTTTCTTCCTCTTAAGGATGAGTAATTTTCCATTGTATGTTTATAAAACATTTGCTTCTTCTCTCCATTGATGGATACTTGGGTTGTTTCTGCCTCTTCAATATTGTGAATATGTTGCTGTGAACATGATGTGCAAATATGAGTACTTGCAGTTCTGCTTTGTGTATTTTTCCATGTAGAATATCTATATTCTATTTTCTTTAGCATTTTTGGTGAAATCACTCTGCTCATTTCCATAGAGCTGTAGCATTTTACATCCTCACCTTCTAGATCATGAGCTTCTTGGGTGTTTACATTAATGTGATTCACAAAATTTGGGAATTTGTAATACTCTCACTGCCCCCCTTTTGCTTATCTTTTAGCAGTTGTTGTCTTTGGCAAATGGTCTTTATGTTTTTATTTGCTTCAGTAAATAAACTGCCAGTAACCCTAGTAATCCATCCTGTCCCAGCTTCCATCCTTGTAAGGATTAGGGTTTCTTCTATTCCTTCTGGCGTTCCTATTATTATACATTACATCTTTTTTTTTTTTGCATACTGCTTACTTTTTCAACTAAATCTCTTTGAATTTTGTAGTTTTTAAAATTTGTGGAGTATTTTTGGCAATGGGAATTAAACCCAGGGTCTTGTACATGCTTAGCAAGTTCTTTATAGTTTCAGCTCAAGGCTTTCTTTCTTTCTTTCTTTCTTTCTTTCTTTCTTTTTTTTTTAAGGTTTTGAATCTGTCACTTCAGTGTCCCCAATTGTGTGATCAAGGTCTCCACACTGCACACTTGTTCTTTCATGTTTAGTTTGCCATGCTCTTTGTTGAAAGCCAATAGTGTATCGAGGAAAGAACTTTGGTAGCTGTCCACTGTAATGTGTTGGTAAGGTGTGAGGAGAGAGTGTTCAGTCTTCTGTGAGTGGAGCTATGGCTTTGATGAACCCATGTGAACTCCGTGAGTGTTTGTAGGCCCTATGTCTACCTAGGACAGGAGAGCTGGATAGCCTAGTATAGCCGAGTATCTCCTTTCTCCCATGGACAACAAAAGGTAGTACCGCAGTTGAGGATTTCACCTGATCCTGGTAGAAGCCTGGAATTTGCTACAATTGGGACTTTCCTTTTACCAGGTCAACTAGGCTTTTCAAAAAGAAGAATCTGACAGACAGAACCAAAGGATAAACAATTTTTCCAAGAGAAAGCATTGTTACAAAGAATAGAATGCTCTGGCATCCTTCAAAATGCTTCCTTCCCTCCAGGAGCGAGAGAGAACTTTTCTCCTGTGTTCACAGTGAGGATTCTGAGCTACAACTCAAGACTCCTCCCCCTGCTGCTCTCATAGAGGCCTCTGCTTATGTATTTCTGCTCTGTTGTGGTTCTTTGTGTCCACTCACCTTTGTCCTGTGAGGCCACCTTTCTGAGGTATACTAGAAGGGTTGCTCATCTCTAGCTTTTAAGCTAGACTAAATCCTTCCAAACCTCTCACACACTACCAGACTATAAGTCCTACAGCAAATTTTAAGGCTGTGTCTTAAATGATGTTAAATTTCTGCCACTGGTGGCATAAATGGCACCTTCTGAGTAGAAGACTTAGTTTCTGGATCTTCTAATTTGTTTTCTTAGTTTTTAAATCTCAATTACCTATTTACATTTCTTTGCTTTAGTTTGAATGCCAAATGCTATAAAATGTAGAAATAATTACTTAACTCAGGCTGCATTTGAGTGATTTCAAAATTGGCTATATTTTAGTTTATCCTTTAGTTTTAAATTTTGTCTTAGTTACTTTTCTATTTCTGTGAAGAGATACCATGACGAAGGCAACTTATAGATGAAAGCATTTAGTTGGGGGCTTACTTATTACAGTTTCAGAGAGGGAGTCCATAGCTATCAAGGAAGGGAACATGACAGCAGGCAGGCAGACAGGCAGGCACTGGACCAGGAACTGAGAGCTCACATGTTGAAATAATAACCAAGAGGCAGAGAGAGATAATTGTAATGGCATGGGCTTTTGAAATCCCACCCTCAGTAGTCCTGTTCCAATAAGGCCACACCTCCTAACTCCTAATCCTCAAATATATAAGCCTTGGGGGGAAGCATTCTCATTCAAACCACCACAGGTTTAATCTTCTATGAACCAACCTTCAATCAGGTCGTTGACTTGAGTCCCCCCCCCCCCCCATCCGCCCCCATCCACTTCCTGACTACCTAAGGCCATGTTTTTCCATGGGGATGTATGTAGTTGAGTATTTTACTTTCCCAGTTTTACTATGTATTCTAAGGTTCATGTCTTGAGTCTATCAAAAATCACTTAATCTCTTGCCTCTTAGCTGCCTGTCAGATTTTTCAGATACAAAAACAAAACAAAACAGTCTCTAAGTCCAGGCTCATCTCTCTGGATTTCCTTTTTATATCAAGATTTTGTTTTACACAGTTTTAGTGTTTAGGTGTTAGCATTTATTATTATTTTTAGTTGTCTACCTTTTTACCGTTGATTTTAGAAGGAGCCTTGTTCTTGGATAATTTATCTTCTAGACTGCCTTGCTCTGCTGTATTTTGAGCCTTTGCATATTCTGTTCCTCTATGAAATTCTGTGCCCCTTTCCAATTCCCAGTTCACATCACTTAACTCTTGCATTATCTGGGTGCTAAAGACCACGTAGAGCTTTCACTGCCCTCCTGACTGCCTTAGGTATTTGTATTACAGTATCTAGTGACACTCTCCAAGTCTTTCATTGTACTTGTGGATTATAATTACATATTCATGTAGGTATTTTTATTACAGTATCTCATGACACTCTCCAAGGCTTTCATTGTACTTGTGGATTATAATTATATATTCATTGATGATTTTTATTTCACTTAATATTTATCCTCTTTGTGGAATTTAAGGCTCTTAGGAAAAATCCACATCTTGCCGTTTAGGAGAGCACATCTGCAGTCTCAGTGCTCAAGGCACGAAGGCAGAAAGATGATGCATTCTAGGCCCACCCAGGGTACACAGTGAAGCCCTGCCTCAAGCATATGAATGAGTAAAGAAACATAAAGGTATAAGAAGAAGAATCATATTTATATTAATCTTCATTGATCCCCACTGTGACTTAAGTGGAGAATTTAGAACTTTTTCATTGGTGGAATATATATATGGAGAGTAGAATGGGACTCCATGGAAAGTAGCAGAAGTTAAAGGACAAAAGCAGTTAGCCTTTTTAATGGGTTCTCAGAGGAGAGAGATCATTCATTTATTTTTCTTTTGTAAATTTATCAAAAATGTCTTAGAAGGTATTTTATAATATATATATATATATTATATATATATATAACTTGTTATCATTCAGATTTTGAAATAGATATAACATATAAAACTGTGTACAGTCTACTAAGAGATAAACAAGCACGTTTTTCTATTCAGTAATTATTTTGGATTTAAATTTTTGATATTTATTTATTGTGTGTGTGGGAGCACTTGTTCTTTAATTTTGCATATGTGGAAGTCAGAGCTAAATTTAGGACAATTGCTTCCCTGCTCCGATTATGTTGGTCCCAGGAATCAAACTTAGGTCCTCTGGCATGGATCCATACACACTGATCTATCTTTCAGGACATATCTTGGCAAACAAAGGAGGAGGATACAAGAAAGAGGGGCATATTTATTCTCTAATTGTAGCTCCAAATTATGACATAAATGGAGAATGTAACATTTCTTCATAGATGTAATACATGAATGGAAGCTTGAATGAGACTTCCATTTGTGGAAAATAGCAAAAGTTGAATGAAAGGAGAAATTATGCCTTTGTAATGAGTTCTCAGAAGTAGATTAGAGTAACTCATTGTCACTGACTTTTTACTTAAGGAGATTTTCTTTCAAACTTTCAGATGATACAGCAGTGTTCGAGTTGATACAGCTAGTTCCACCAGGTATTGTATTACTTATTGATAAGGCAACTGATTTCAATGAAATATTTCAAACTATCTCTTCTCCCCTCTTCCTGCCAAATAACAGCAATGGTTATTTTTTTTAGGCCATTGATTTGCTATGCATATGCCAAAACAACAAACACAGAAAAGTTTACATGAATGCAAATTGAATGTCTCATTCTGAAATTAAATGTTAAAATAATTGAAAGTGGAAGATAATGTCTTTATAATTTTAGAATATTTTTGACAGTAATGTAAAGTGAATTTTTAATTTTTGACATTTAAAAATAAAATTACATATATTTGTTAATTAAACAGAATTTTTGTTTTGTTTTTTTGTGTGTTGACTGTTATTGGGAATGAAGAGGGTGGTAGCCTTCCTTACTTACAAGGTAAACATGGGTTTCTGAGGAAAGAGCTTACCTCTTAAAATATTAAGACTAGTTTTAGTGTTGATACTTATTTCTAGGACTATCAAAGAAATCTTAGTTAAATATTTTATGCAACAGATACCTATATTTTATTAAATACAAGTAACCTCAAAATTTTCAGTATTACATGCATACTTAATTCACTAGCCACATTTATAATGTTCACTCTTACAGCACATGAGGACAGACAGAAAAGATAGAAGACAGGAAGTTTCTAGAGATGGTAATAAGCTTTGGATCTATAAATTTAATGCAACTTCATATTTTTAGCAAACTCCCTTTTCTAAGAGTTCATTGGTTCTTACTAAGTGTATGTGTTACCCCTATTCTCTAAGGTGTGAGGCAGAGAATTACTAATATATACTGTATTTCTGAAATTGAAAAAACATGTTAAAGTATTTGTTGTATCCTTATTTTAATTTTCCTTTTATAGAAGATAAGCATTGCCTTCAAGCAGGTATACAATAAGGCATCAGGCAATATATATAAATTATACTTGATGATTTTGTTTCTAAATAGAATGTTTTGTTATAATTTGAATCATAGGATATCTTTCTTATAGTTGGAGAAACACTGTCAACCTATGATGAAAACACACGAGATTTCATGTTCCCGGGTCCAAACCAAATTTCTGGACACCATGATTCAAACCGCCAGGTTACTATGAGGAGGATTTCTGGACTAAGAGTAAGTGATTGCATGGCTTTCCAAGTCAGCTCTTTATGGTAAGAGGTAGCATACAGGCCTCAGTACCTTGAATTTGTAAAACTAACTTAAAATTTAATTTGTTTTCAAATTTCTTTTGTATAATTGTGTTATTTTAAGTATCCCGAATGCAATGAAAATAATTTAGCAAAAATTAAGGCATTTATTATAAAAACTAACACATATATTGGCTGATATTCTTCACAACTTGTAATTTGTTTCTCCTCTGCACTACCCATCCTCATTCCTCCATGTCTGTCTGTCACTTTTTCTGTTTCTGTCTGGGGAAAGTTCAACAAACATTAGAGCAATAACCAGTCTCAACATTTAGGGAAACCCCAATTTAAAACATTTCTTTTTAGTCATGTCGGGTTTATTGGAAAACATTAATAAATATTAAATATTTATAAATTGAGAACTTTTGTATGCTGGTGTGTCATAAGCTGGAATAATCAAAATTCAAAATTATTTAATAGAGACCAAGATTTTTTTAGCATAATATCTTCTAGGTGTGTGTCCTCAGTATATTCTCACTGGGATACCAAAGGTCCTCTTATGTTGCTCATATCCTTCCGTGATAGAGATGGGACCTTAGGTCTTCTTCCTGTTAGTCATCAGTTTACCACTGAGCTACACCACAGGTTAAGATATTTTCTTATAGTGCTCTTAACAGTGGTAAAAAATAGAAATGACTGAAACTTACAGCTTGGATAAAACTTGAATAGATAGATTATAAAGTGTCCACAGACTGTACATAAACGCTACATTAAGAGGGCCTTTCTTTCTGAGTGGCAATATTTGTGTCATGAATAAACATCATTGGATTTGATGCCGTCTTCACACAAAGCTCTCCCATCCTTTCCTGCAACTGATTTGAAAATATCTTTATTCCCGAAAAGCAGCCTGCTTCTCAGAAGAACTCAGAGATGGCCACTTTGTTTCAAAAGCAGAGAGTAATATCTTGAAATTATTTGGGCAAACAGTTTTTAAACTAATTTTGTGGAATCCTAATATAAGTAAATAAAGTGTGTGTCATATGAGTTAATATAGTGAATTAAATAAATTTTCCTCTGTGTCTCGGCTTATGATAAGCTGTGTCCAAAGAAATAGTAAATTCAGTTTATTGAAAGTGTAAAAGTTGACTCTGTAACAACTGAAAACCTTTCTTCTCTGGAATATTTTTATGTTGTTAGTTAGCTTTTATACTATAACTGTCTTCAAAGAGTATTTTTAGAGTCATGTGGAAGCTCATAAAGAAAAAATATCATATTTAGTTTATGGTCTCTTTAAGGTAATTTAACGTGCTTTGTCGTATGATGACAGCAATAGAAAGTCAACTGTGTGGACTGTTCACTTTCATCACTTGAGTTTCTTTTGCATATATTTGGAAGTTGTTTGACTATTGAGGCAGAGATATATAAAAATAAGGACTTCCAATAACAGCCATGTGAAGAGTTTGACAGATCTTCTCTTTATATTAAGCAAGTATGAAACTGGACAAAGTTATCATAGTCAACACTGGTCAGTGGATACCGACTAAGAAGTGCAGCAAGCAGATGACATTTTTATGCTTGAAAATCAGCTCCAGTTTTAGGTAATATAGCAGGAATTTGGGGCTCCTTTGCCTGGGATGGCCCATGTCCTACTTCTCAGTGACAGCTGTATCTTTACCAGCTGATACTGGACACAAAGAGCAGTAGCTTTGGTCCCCAGAGGTTGAGAAGTGGTTTGGCTCTGCCAGCTAAACATAGTGGATCCTGTTGATAGTAGATGGAGAAACCTTACAGCTGTGCAAGGCCCATTGCCATCTGACTCAGGTCAATGGCACACTTTCTAGGATGTTGGCAGGGAGATCCAGAAACGAAGGGACAAGAAGAAGAGTGAGAGAAGCTCTCTCTTTCTTGTCTCAGTTTGAAAGGCATTCACAGGGGCAGCAATGAGAGATTAAAATAAGCCCAGGGAAACTAGTTGTAGCTATGAATTTATTTTCTCACCTATCACTGAAAGTCAGCAGAGGGGCAAGCCAGTATGGCTTATATGAAGAACTGAAAAACAGAGAAGACATGGAACAGAATATAAACTGAACATCAAAATTAGGGTATAAGCACAGACATATCAATAATTGTATTTACATATAAGTAAAAATAAATGCTTTCAGTGGTTTGTGGTCCTGGCAAGCAACAATGACTTGTCTTCAGAATTCTTGTGATTCTGGGATACATTCTTTGAGTCCCACTACTGTTGACAAGGATTCAAACCATTATCTGGAATTAAATCATGTCACTTCTATGGATTTGCTTAGTAAACTTGGACAAAGCACAGTGACCTGTCTAGCTAGGGTTCATGGGTCAATTGATTTAACCTTGAGTTGATCATATATTTTAACTGTGGCTGCCTTGGTGGTGCTGGTGGTGGGTATTTTTCTCTGTAGACTCTGAGCTCCACAACATTTTCATCCTTGAATTGTAGTCTTACTCAGTATGTTATGAAGTAGTATTTAACAGATGCCTCTTGATTGGACTCAGTGAATGAATTACTTCCTGCCATAGGTTCAGTGGAGAGATTCACTTTTGAGAATGTGTGATTTGGTCAATTTGGCTAGACTCTAGAGCCCATGTTACTGTAAAGCAGTTTGGTGATGTGATGAAGATTTATAAACAACTAATTTAAATAAAGATTACTACTTGACAGTGCATGCGGCCTTTATATCATCAATCTGGAGATTGCAAAATCAATCACTGAAGTTTTCTGAGGAAGGAAGACTTCTGCTCATGGAAACAGTAGAAATCCTACCTATTTCTAATATTACAGCCGACTCCATCAGCTTCATGGTCAAGATAGTGTGTCAACTTATTCCTTAGTTTCCACCTATTTAAGGTGCCCTTTGCACTTCTGAATTGTCATCTCTCACATTTGTTTAAATTAATTCCCTAAGACAAATCTCTCTATGTGTATGACTAGTCCTTTTACATACTAGACTTTAAAAGGCTTGTAAAAATACTATGTGAACTATTGGGAACTCAAGTGTGATGAGCAATTGACTTCAGGGAAGTTTAGAGTGGAAAGCCATAGGTCAGGTGGTGATAGTAGACAGTCTTGTACTTCTTAACATTTTGATTGGAGTCAGACTATACATACAATTATGGCTATGACTTACATTTAGTTATGTAACAGGTTTCTGGAAGTATACATGATGTTGTATTGTGTAATGACACATTTTCAGTTCAAATCCTCATTATTAAGTGACACATGACTGTATTTCCAGAAATTCTTTGATAGCCCTCTCTGTCTGGACTTTGGGGATTGTTAGGCGCCAGTGGTTTTTGTTGCCATTTTGTTCCCATTTGAATGGGAATGTGTGCATAGACTGCACTTTGTTTGCTGAATATATGTACAGTGGGTGTTGTCATATAGATAACTTGTCTCCTTAGTTCTTATAAGTCCTCTGACTGTGAAGAAATATATTATAGAAGCTATACCGAGCTGTAACCAAAGAACCTTACCTATGTGAGGATTCTTACATGCCAACACTGATTTTAAACCGAGTTTGTAAACTTGTAAAAGGTCAAGACTTCTAGCTTCCTTTTTTCTTTTTGGAGCATTAGTGTATTTTGCACATAAGAGGAATGCAATTTATAGTCACAAGGAAAACCGTGCATACATATTTAATACTCTTCAATTGAAAAAGAGCCAAGTTCTGAGTCTTTGAATACGGACCACACTTACCAACTTCTAGAGAAATATATAGTGTATAGTAGATATCTAACAAGTGGATATAGTAGATATTATTGATGTTGATTTTTGGGCAGCTCAGATTTACCCTCTGTAATGGATACATTTTAAATTCTAAACTTAGTTGCTCATAGACAGGGTTTGCAGAGGGCATGGTAAGTGTCTGACTTTTATTGCATTGGGGAGAAGCTACTCAAAGGCTAGCCGACATGTTCAACAGTTGGGTATATATAACATAGGATTCCAGATGTTTCCTTGGGTGCTTTGTAACTGTCCACTTGACCTGTCTCCTTTTCTCCACTTATCTCAAAACTGTTCAGGCTGATTATTGAAATGTTGGTAGAAATAGAACAAAGATAAATATCTACAACTAAATATAAAGTATATTATAAGAAAAAGTCTATAGAAAATTTCAGAGACCTCCTCTGTCTGAAGATTGCATGACTGGGAGTAATAGAATTCTCTTTTAATTAAAATGTGTTAAAAATACAATAAGATAAAAATTTAATGGACCGTTAAATAAATATTTATAATAGACAAGGTGTTTTGTTTTATGTAGAAATTTTGTAATAGCTAATAATTATTTCTTGATTATATAGTTAAATTATAAATGTAAAGACAGTTGAAATAAATTAAATAATTCACATATTTATGACTAATCCGTCATAATTTAAAATCTTCAAACACTTTGACAAAGAGACACTTGAAAATGGAAACAATTGTAAATTATTCTATTAAAGTAGTATAATTGCTCCCAACCAAATCATTAGCAATGTAACTGCTAATTAGGAACATTTATCATTACTATGTTCTTCATAATAATAAAAGATCAAACAAACAAATGAAGCACTGAGTCTTGAAAAGTATTTGTTATTTTAGATCCTATTCAAACCACTAACTGTACTTTTTAAATATATAATAATACTATTTTTCAATCTTGCAGGGAATTGCTCCAAAGCTGGAATTTTCTACAACTTCAGTGATCACGGAATGTCTGATAAGCTCAAGGAAGTGCCGAAATCAGGTTAAAATGATTAAATTGTTATGATCGTATGGTTCATGTGAATCCATGCATGGTGGGCATTATCCTTGTTTTGGCTGCATTTCTTCTCACCATCTCTGTCAGTCTTAAGCAAAGCAGTTAACAAAGTACTCAGCGATTTGATTGCATCATAGTAAATAGGAGAAAGCCAAGCTTGGCCCCATGGCAGAGGGCATCACGATATGTTTGTTTGGTTATTTACTTATTTTACATCATGAAATTTTAAATACAAGCAGTAGTGAAACTGCCAGAGAGAGGTTGAGATCAGGAATTGCCAAAGAAAACTCAGCTGAAGACTTCCATACATTTTACAGATATTACAGTAGACTGCAGAAAGGTCAAAGGAACCCTTAAGCAAATGTGGCCAAGTTCTCTCACTGGGGACTTCATGTTTATTGAGTGTGACTTCTTGAATGTGTCTAATTCCTAGAGAACTGTTATTCAGTGCAGTGACCATACTTTTCTGTCAGCCCAAAGAAAGTTTGGGCATTCCAGCCTTAATAACTCATTTTTGTGAAGATTTCCTTTAATAAGCTTCTGATCAGTTGTTCCTCATATTCTAATTCTTTCAGGGCTTCTCTGTGTAGCTTTGGAGCCTGTCCTGACACTCACTCTGGAGATCAGGCTGGCCTTGAACTCACAGAGATCTGCCTGCCTCTGCCTCATGAGTGCTGGGATTAAAAGCATGTGCCACCAATGCCCGGCTTCATATTCTAATTCTTTCTGGGCCAAAGGGCAGTCTTCTGGTGCACAAGCGACCTTGTCCATAGTTATCTCAGCAATGCTGGCATTGCCCATGTGCAGTTCCATGACAGCCATGTTCTGATGAAGGGCTGGTAGCATACAAAACCCAGACGACTCAGTAGGAGCAGGGCTGGGCCAGTAATGGAAAGAGTGGAATAGTAATTTGCTGTATTACAGTTTTAAAGCTAATTTTTTAATACAATAACTGTGACCTAAGCTAAGAAAGGTACAATGAGTTCCCAGAGTATTGGAGGAAGTATTTTTTTGCTAGCAAGATATTTAGGGTTCCAAAGTCAATCGGTAGCTATTTACCATTTAGACACAGATGTTCGAAGTCTAAACCAGCCATGCTTAAAATGTGTGGGGAAACTTACTGACTGGTTTCTCAGTTACTCAGTGTGTGCATTTACAAATTGTTAAAAATGCTTTGCCCAGCATTCAGTTTTTCTCTCTGAAGAATACTTAATGAATGGATAGCAAAAAATTCTTTTTATTTTTTAATTCACACAGATTTATAATGTCAAGTGTATATCTCAATGTAAGGTACATGTAAGGCCATCCCCTCAGTTAAGATGATTGCTCTTCATGCACACCGGGTCTAAAAAGAAGAAATACTCTTCTTTTCCTTCAACTTGTTTGGAGTTGTCATTTGGTCTTTACTAAACAGAGATGTACGAGAGTAGGTTGTTATATTAGACAGAATTTAAAACTATGTTTTAGGGCTATAGATGCATGAGGTCCTGGGTTCAATTCTCTGTCAAGGATGGAAGGAGATGAGGGAAGAGAGGAGAGTGAATAGGGGAGGATAAAACAAAGTGAGGAGGAAAGGATGAGAGAAGGATGGAAGGGAGGGAGGCAAAAAATGAGGAAAGTGCTGATTTCAAATAATGTATGCTTTATGTTTCTCACCAGTTTAATGGAATTAAAAATTCAGGGTATTGACATGAATTTTCAGGAGGAAAATAATTTTTCTCTTCTACTAATTCTTTTTACTTGTTTTAAAGTATACTTTATTTTTCACAGTTAAATATTGACAGACATTTTAGTATGCTGTTAAACATTGTCAAGGTGCGGTATCCCTTAGGTTTTGCTGTATAGCAATTGCCCCTAACAGTGGTTTAAAGTCGAAAGTGCTTCTCAGTTCCAGTGGCTAAAGGATGATTCCTTTGGACTAGATTGGCTGTCTTATGCCTGAAGGTTATGGGGTAATTTTGCTTGGACCAGGCATTTGTCAAGTTGTAGTTGGAGAAAGTGAAGATCATAAGACTCATCATCTAGTGGGCTAATAATTGTGGCTTATTGCTGTAGGAATATTCTTAGAAAGAGTCAACAGCTCTTTAAAAAACCTGGCCTCGTGACAGTGTCCTGTTGATCAAAGGAAGTTACGTAGTCAAGCCTAGCTTGAACCTGGGGCAGAAACTACCATGGTGTAGATGTAGGAAAGGAAATTATGGCAGTCATTTTGGCAAGAGTACACACAGCTAGTGCTTTAAGTTTTAATAGGCAAAATAATTGGGCATTAAGGAATGGGCCTGCTTGGATAACATGGGTCTGTAATGGCTGCCATGAAGTTTGTAACTTAAACATACATCATTCAAAAGCTTAACTGAGGAAAGAAGGTGGGTTGGGATCTTCAGATATGGTATAATCAGAGGTGGGTGAGCAAAAAGAAACTTAAGCATCACTTTAGTTTAGCTGTACCTGGAAACGAACAATGTATAAATGATGAGGAGATAGAAGTCCAGAGTCTCATGCTGTGTGAGGGTTAATAACAGATGCAGAGTAGAATAGGTTGAGGAAAGGAGATGTGTGTGTGTGTGTGTGTGTGTGTGTGTGTGTGTGTGTATGAGCAAGAGATCCTGTAGATGCAGTTGATCTGTATAGAGGGAAAGTTCAAGGTTGATAGAGATACTAAAGCTGAGCCAAAGGGACTCTGATTTTAGGTGCCAGGTGCACATTTTGACTGGTTTAGGAGACCTCAGAGAGCCTTTGTGGTTCTAGAATGTCTTCATCTGAGAGTCATTGTGATGTCATAGAAGTGGATATAGGTGAGAGGAGAGCGCTGGCACACTCATTGGCATCTCTGAACTGCGTGGGAGAAGGTCCTGGAGCATAACCAAGAAGCACAGCAGAGAAAAATGACCTGAAGTGAGACTGTTCTCATTAGAAAAGTGTTGATTTTTTCATTTCTATCACTGGCTTGAAAACACTAGCTCTTGTTTTGATTCATATTTGTATTTTCAGCACTTAGTCCTTGTACTAAGGGGGGCGAGGCAGAAAGTGGAGAAGAAATTTAGTTTGGTGGTTTTCCAGGGGATTGATAGGAAGCCAAAGATCTTTAGATGTTTTTTCCTAACTGTATGATTCTAGAGAAGAAATCTGTTATTAACTTCCAATCTAACTATTAAGGCATTTGTAAAGCAGAGTGTAGCAGAATGAAGTATTACCTGATTAGCGGCTAAGTTGGAGCTATCAGATTTGTTTTCATTTGTATTGTATCTTCTTTTAGACAGGGCCTCACTTATGCTGCCCAGCCTGACTTAAAACCCTGGGGCTCTAGTAGCCTTCTTGCCTCAGTTTCCCATGTAGGTAGATATGTAGTTATATGCCATGGAGCCCAGCTCAGATTCACTTTTCATTTTCAAAATTCTAGAGGGATACAAAATTTATAAGAAGATAGAAGTACTAGTTATTAAAGTTTATAATCTATCTTTTATACATATTTAATTTTGTAAAAATATTAAAAAATAAAATGGTATTTTTATCTATCATTGAATTGTCAAATTATGACTTGGATCTTACACACCAATATATCGTATATAATTAAAAAACACTTGAGTAAGATATCTATCAAGTGTTTTAGAGTCTTGTGTTGTACTTATATTATACACAATTATAGCATGAATAAGACTCATTTTTCTTCATGATTTCACAACTAGCTAAACAAGTGTATTTTTAAATAAGTTTGTTGTCCAGGCTCAAACTTTGTCAGTGTCCTACCCAGGATCACAGACATGTGTGATCACACTGTATTAGACTCAAGCTCTTTAAAATTAAATGCAGTTCTTTTAAACTTGGTAGTCCATTACTTGAATGTGTAAATATAGACAATAAATGTTGCTTGCGTTATTTTTTTTAGTTTACTGAAAGATTAGTTTTTGACTTATTTTGAAAATAAGTTAATTGGAATTTTACAAGTGATTAAGAATTAGCCTTTAATTTTCATTAAGCCCGTTTAGATTTAAGGAAGTTTGGTATAATAAACTTTATAAGCTAGAAGAATATGAATTTGATTTATCCTGGGTCAGTGGAGATAATGATCTAGTTGGCTTTGATAACTTTTGTGTACCTTGAGTTACTCTTAAAAGTTCTTCCCTTTCTGTACAGTTTTAAAAAGTCCCTTTTGCCCACATGAATGTTTGTTTTTTATGTTTAGGATAAATTTACTTACCATTCAGCTCCAGTTGAAAAACCCCACGGCAGACTGCAATGCAGAACATCAAGATCACAGAAGAAAAAGTCCAAGTCCCCTGAGAGGAGTAAATACTGCGTCAACAACAAGAACTACGAACAGCCAACGATATCTTCAAAGTCGCACTCTCCTTCTCCCTACACAAAGAGGCGAATGTGTGAGCTCTCGGAAGACACCAGGCGTCGCCTGGCCCATTTAAACCTGGGACCCTATGAATTCAAAAAGGAAACAGACAAGCCTCCATTTGTGATTAGACATGTATGTGCTCATAAGCATTTCCATTTGAAACTTGTCAAATCTATCCAGCTGCTAAAACTTTATGCTGAAACACATTTCAATAAGCAACTCATGTGAATAATTTTCTTTCTTGAATTCTTAGCCAGCAGCTAAAAGCAGAACATTAACTTAAAACTAAAGAACATGCGTTTTGTTCCCCTTGACAGCATTAATGCTGAGATCACACTCCACTATGATGCCATATGGAGACTTCAGAGTTCCCATTCCCTCTCACCTCACACAGTGGGCAGTAATACAACTTTACAATTGAACTTGGTTGTAATTGACATTGATATTAAAGTGCCAAATTAGGATTTTAAAAGAGAAAACAAAGTTTCCTATAAAAAAGGGACCCATTCCAGATCTTTAAAGTATGATAGTGGAAGTAGATGCTACTTTGAGAGCAAGTCTTTTGGGAAAGCTTTGGATCCTGAATCTTTGAAGCCAGAACTTGTTTGATGGGCGTGCATGCATAGGAGGGCCTTTGGATTAAGAGTAGGGTAGCTCTAATCTTTCTATGCACAGCCTTATGTTATGATGGAAGTTAAGTAACATTTCATGCCATTTTTATGCTTTGCCTGTAAATCAATCCTTCATCTTTCAAACTAAATTCAACTATAAATTTTTTATTTAAAATTATAATGTAATTGATACATCCATATGCTAATATTTATTAATGAACACACACACACAGAGAGAGAGAGAGAGAGAGAGAGAGAGAGAGAGAGAGAGAGAGAGAGAGAGAGAGAGACATGGTTTCTCTGTGTGACAGCCCTGACTGTCGCTTTATAGATCTGACTGGCCTCAAACTCACAGAGATCCGCCTGCCTCTGCCTCCTGATTGTTGGAATTAAAGGCACGTGCCACCACCTCGTGGCAATGATATTCTTGTTTATCTAATTTGATTATAAGTTTGGTCCTGTTGAACATTATTCAGACAATAGTTTGAATTGCTATTAGAAATTTGAGAATGTCTTTGACTTTAATACTATGCATAACTACAAATTAAATTGAAAAGAAAGGGTGTGTGCTAGTTTGAAGGAATTATCAGTTGCTTTTCAATTAAAATACCTGTATATAGAAGCTAAGAAGGATCATGGGAGTTAGACACATAAATGTTAGGGAAACAACTGCTCGTTAAATGCTTATTAATACTTTTCATGGAAGTGATTGAAAAGATAAACATTGTAAATGTTTTTATGTTTTGATAGAATCTATTTTCTAAGTTACATTTTTTGAAGTTTTGAGTATTTCATATGTGAATACTGTAGTTAGATACACGTGGTTAGGGCTGGCACTTGGATTATATAATTTATCGGGGAGCTTGTCTCTGGAGAAAACTGATTCTCTCTCTCAGCTCATCTAAAGGCATGATCAGGACCTTGTGAAATTTTCCCCATCCATGTTGGCATGTTGACTAGTGTTGTGATTATCTAGGTCTTGTTTATGCAACATTGTTTGGAGCCTATCCTGGCACTCGCTCTGGAGACCAGGTTGGCCTCGAACTCACAGAGATCCACTGGCCTCTGCCTCCCACGTGCTGGGATTAAAGGTGTGTGCCACCAATGCCCGGCTATAATTTTTATTTAGTAGGTTTTCCCCTCAGCTTTTCTGTGAACAGAAATGCATACATCTAAGAACATATAAAAATTGTCTATATTATTGAGTAGGCATTGGATTTAGAGGGAATTTAGGGACAGACAACCATTCATGGTTTCAGAAGAACTTAGGAACTTGTAGCAAAAGAAACTTAATTTAATGCATACATATGCAAAAACCTTAAGAAAGGAACAGTACCTGGCCTGAAGGACAATCATTGTAAGTGGCTTTCAGAAATCAGTTAACAAGCTCAAAATGTATTGTCGCAATTGTCCTAGATGAGTCATACAGCTCTTTTCACTTATGGCTATAAACATAAGTGTAGCTTTGTGGATTTACAGAGAGAGGAGGGGGGAGGGTAGAGGGGATGGGGGAGGAGGGAGAGAGAGATGACTGTTAACTGCTTTTACAATTCAGTGATACAAAGCAGATTCACATGTGGTACCTTAAGAACTTCCCCCATTGGGAACCATGTGTTCATGAAGTGCTTCCCATTCTTCTTGATCCACTGAAACTCCTAATCTTGTCTCTCTGAGGTTGCCTGTCCTGCTTGCTCATGTAAATAGAGTCAAGCAACTTATCTTGGCAAACTCACTGATGTTGTATATGTTTTCACCTGTATTTTATTACTGGCTAGTATTACATTATCTGGATAGCTGTGTCTCATTGTTTATATAGCATGTCTGTTGGTAGGTTTTTGTGTTGCTTACACCCTTGGTTACTATGAACAATGCTTTAATGAGCAGCATGTGTACAAAGTGTTTGAATAAATACTTGTTTTCAATGCTTTTGGGTAAAGACCTAGGAGTAGACCTGCTTTGTCATGTGCCAGTTGTATATTTAACCTGAAGACTTGCCATGTGTTCCTCAGATGGGCGTCACAATTTGCATTCCTGCCAGCTGCACAAGAGGGTTGCAGTTTCCCTGCATTTTCATGAGCACCTAAGCATCCCCTTCCATCTTTCTTTGTGGTAGTGAGGGTTAAAGCCAGGGCCTCTTGGATGCAGGGCTGCTTAATTTTCTCGCTAGCCCTCCTGTGAGTGCGAGTGGCATCTCCTCGTGGTTTGATTAGTATTTCTCCAGTGACTGATGATGCAAAGCATCTCCCTCATGTGTTAGTGAATATCCTTAAAAATGCCTCCTCAAGTCTATTGCTTGTTTTATGATCTTTTCTTTATTGCTATTGTTGGCTTGTAGGACTTCTTCATATGATCTATGTAGTCATCTCTTGTCAGAAATATGATCTTCATTTTTGTTACCCAAATTCACTTTTTGCTCTTCTTATTGTTCCTTGATCCACAAAAGGTTTGAGTTTTGCTCAGCAGGTCCATCTTTTTGATAGTTACATCACTGTGGCATTTTTTTGGTAGATCTCTCTTATGGACAAATAAGTACAGCAAAGACACTGTTTAAATTCCATGTATGTGCTAAGAAAGGTAGAAATTTGGTAGACCTTTTCTAGGTAAAGCAGTGTAGGTTGCTCTAGGATGTTATTTTTATTTTTGTAACTTTGTAGTCAAAACCAAACTAGGAAACAGGGTAGTGAGTACTTAACTGCAAATTTGTTCTTTTTTTGGTGGCATTTAATTTCAGCTCTGTTGAAAAGTACATAGTAAATAAGTGATTAAACTCTGACTTTGGAACACAGAAGCACTGTGGGATTCACCTGCTGTGTGGCATATGCTCTCTAGTTGCTTAGCAATGCTGGAAGATTGAGAATGGGAATGGAAGGTTGAAGTGCTCTTTCACATTGCAAATCCTCTTTCTTCTAGGTCGATCCCCCAAGTCCCAGGGCTGATGCTTTCTTTGGATCACCTGGCAGAGACTGTGAAAGAGATGGATGGGTCAGGATGCACAGTGGTAAGGGGGAAGCTTTCCTTCTCCTACTCTAGTTGTTGAGATAATGTCAAGCCTTACGAGGCACTGATTGATAAAACAGTTTTTGCTGCATTATTAGATATTGTGATAAAACTTTTACAAATAGAAAGAATTGTATTTCTGTACTGTTAAAACATTCTTTTATATTAAAAATGTATATTAAAATTTTAGCATACTAAATACTATATTACCTTTTAGTAAAAATCACTTGAAAGTATTCTACTCAACATTTTCTACATTATTTGACTACAAAACACATTTCTCACTTTAATGTGTTAATTTATAGAATAGATTTTGAGAAACAGTGAAGTAACTCAGGGTTATGGGTTTGGAATATTAGATATATTATTTCTTATTAGAGAGGAAGCCAGTATCTTTCCATGTAAAGTATAAGTAATAGTCATAACTACTCTACTAGGCTGCCTGTGCCGCTGTACAAAATGTTGTGGGATGCTTAGTTTAAAAGCAAATGACAATGACATAGTCTACATTTATGGAACTTCAGAAAGCCAAAGTCAAGGTGGTGGGAAGGCAGATTGTCTTCTGTCATGACACTGTACTCAAGACTGTGTAGGGGAGGAGGGAAAATGTGCAGCAAGAATGGGAATGAATAAGAACAAGGTTCCTGGTATCTATTTCCAATAACACTGACCACGTCTTGAGACCCACTGTCATGACCCCATCTAAACCCTATCACCTCCGAGAAAACCATTACACTGGGAATGAGGGCTTCATCATAGGAATCTCACTAGAGGGGACACAGGGATTTAGTCTTTAACATCTGTTCCATGCCATTATTAGATAGGAAATAGTACCTAATATTTAAAAATATTTCTGCTAGCAGCTATTCTGTGTACTCAGGTTTCATTGTTTAATTATCATTGAAATTTCATGAATGTTTATAGAGACATTTTTCCATTTTATGGATAAAGAAACCTGCAATTTGAAGTTGTTCAAGATCATACATAGTATCTGAAATAGCTTTTTCTATTTCTTCAAACTTTTCCTAAATAAAATTTCATTTATTATGCCCTGTTCAGGATTCTCTGGGTTTGCAAAGCTTTTTGATTGTCTTCAACCTTGAGGGATTACCTGTGATACATTTTATATCATTAATTACTTGTACCTTTCCTATGTCTAGTTGTTCTTTTATGTTTCTGTTATTCAACATTGTGCAATGTAACTAAAATAGATTCTGACTTCTTCATGACCATAAGCTATGACTTTTATCTTCTGCTTCATTTAGAGCTTAGTTGGTTCCTAATTGGTGAGAATGACTAAATGTGAATATTGGGAAACTGAATATCAAAGTAAAAGCTTAATTTGTAAAGAAATGAAAGAAATTATAAGGCTTCCAAATCACATTGAATTTATAAATGTTTTGTGAAAAGTAGAAGACATACAAGTGTGTTAATATATGGAAACTGTTGGTATATAACCAGTTGTGAAAGATTGTTGTCTCAATTTTAAAACTAGCACAGGTGTGTGTGTGTGTGTGTGTGTGTGTGTGTGTGTGTGTGTGAATTAGAACATGCCCTTGTCAAACTTTGATTTCTTCTGATGATTATGGTCATGTGTGTATTTACTTGCAGAGGAAAGAGGAGTTAGAGTTTTTTTTTTTTTTTTCAATTTTGAAGACTGGTTGAGATAATTTGATTCCTACTGATAGTAAGTTGAGACATTAACTTTGTGTGAAAGACATTAATATTTTCACTGGCATCTAACATTGTTTAAGACACCAAGGAAACAAATATCTTGTGCCATAAAGGACAAGGAACTGTTGAATATAAAATATGTTATGACTCAATACATACAGATATTTTTCCAGGATAAAGTTAAGAGAATAAAATTTAGAAACTTTTGACTAGAATATGTAAAGCAGAACAACAAATTATGATTCTGACTTGCTTACTGAAAAAATATAACAGCTTATAATACTTAAAGCTTGAATTTTGAAATTGTAAGTCCTTCAAGTAATAAATAGAACATTAAATATGTATCTACAATATGATGTTATTTGGGGAGAGATTTAGGATTTGATTTAAAAGCTACTATGTGGTAGCTACTGTACTGTCATCTCTCATGGGTTATATAATGTAAGTCTAGACTTTGACTTGGACACAGGTAGATCTTGTTTGCATGCTCTTGAAATGAGGACTGAAACAGAGATGGAGTATATGACTTGGCTAGAAAAATATATCCAAAGTGACACAATTAGAAATTAAGCCCAGGCTTGCTTGAATTAGAATTTGATGTTGGAATTCGTTTTCTTTGTGCCTTTAATTTTACTTTAGTCATTAGCAATTACAGTAATATTAACTTTTAGACAATGTTATAAAAGATGGACATCAGACAAATTTGGAGTCTTGACCTAAAGTTTAAGGAAAATGATTGGTACCATAGAGTCAGTGTTGGTTCTGAAATAAGCAGTGATAGCTGCCCACCCCTGAAGTCTGCGAGTTCCCTATGGCCCACCATAGACATAAAGAACATTTCACAATAAACTGGCTTTGTGATTGAAATCACACTTTTTTTTTTGCAGACTCATTGGTTTACCAAAACGAATTATTCTTTTGTCTTTGTAAAATCAGATACTTCCTACTCTAATGAAAAGAACCTTTGTAAAATCACTACCTGCTGAAGAACTGACATAACCTGTTGGGTTGGGTTGTCGTCTTGGTGTTCTAACATTGCTGAGGAATTTTAAAGTGTTTTTGAAATCTGCTGTACTATTTGCATTTGAGAAATATTGACACTAAAAATCATAGGTGAAGCCAATTCCTTGCCTTTCTGATGTTGCATATTTGATCTTTTGTTCTACACAACCTTTTCCAGATCATCCTCACTTTGGCTGCTGCAGATCCAAGGATTATAAGGTGTGTTAAACCAATTACATCATGACAGCATAAGTGTATTTCTGCTATACAAATTCTTCTGGAAATTTTATAAAATAATATGAAAGTAATAATCGACACAGCATGGAAAGTCATGGTTGTGGTGGCTGTGCCAAAGGTGGTAATATGTCTTCACTGAATATCTTCCTACAGATATGCTGTTGGTTTCATTATATATTTGGACCAATTGTTGAATTTAAATGTTTGGGTGTGTGTCTGAATGTGTATGTGAGGGAGACAGGGAGACACTACACACACATGCACGTGTGTGTGTGCAGTGCACATGAATATTGATTTGTGTAATATGACTATGTGTTCTTAATGCACACATATATGTGTGCACACATATATGTGTACACACATTCATTTGTCTGTGTAATATGCATGTGTTTAATGCATATATGTGATAAATAATATATATTATGTATATATGTACACACATATACACACATATATATGGCTTTGCATACATACATGAATACACAGGTGATCTAGCGTCATGTCCAATATCCTGCATGGAATAAGAGGCTTCCTTAGTTATTCTAAAGGCAGACTTTCTTCTTTTTTAAATTGATTTTTTAATTCATTTTATATTCCAACCACAGTTCCCCTCCCTCACCTTTTTCAGCTCCCCCCACCCCTTCCTACTCCATTCCCTAGCCACTCCTCTGAAAGGTAAGGCTTCCCATGGGGAATCAACAAAGCCTGGAATATCAGGTTGAGACAAGAGCAAGCCCCTTCCCACTGCATCAAGGCTGAGCAAGGCATCCTGTTCATTTCCCTTAAATACCGTTCCACAGTTGATAATTATATATTTTCATCTTTGTTTATAGTCATCTTCTTTTACTAATCAATAAGTATCAGGCTATTGAGTGTTTTATTGATTTTGTTTCTTAATTGTTATTACCTAGTATATTTATATATAATATATGCATTATATATATTATACAAATTTATTTTTCCATTTTAACTTTTGTACCATTTGTGTTTTATTTCTTTTTTTCTGACTGTGTGTGTTTTAATTTCCTGAGGACATCACTTTCTCCTCACCACCACTCCGTTTATAAGATGTAATTGATAAAATTTATATATTTTCAGTATGGAACTTGATTATATTACAGTATACATGTACATATACATACACATACATATGCACACATGACTAGATCCACTTAACATCTGTTATCTCACCTACCTTCTTGATGACAACATTTAAGATCTTTGTACTTTTCATACTTTAAGTACATACGTTTAACACATTTCCTCCTTCTCTACTTGAAACTCCATCCTCTTTGACCAAAGGATTCCCCACCAATGCCCTTGACAGTCTCCACTCCACACATAACTTCTATGAGTTTTGTTTTTCAGATTCTATAGCTAAAGTGAAGTTAGAGTCTTTTGTCTTTCTTTGTCTGGCTTACTTAGATTAATGACTTCTAGAATAATGAATTTTGTTGCCAATAGCAGGATTTCCTTACTTTTTAAGATCACATAGTATTCCATTATATTTGTTATATTTTCAAAAGTTTCATCTGTTTATGGATACAAATTGATTGTGTAGGAGCTCATTACTTCTTAAGTGCCTTTGCTAAATGCATATAAAAGCCAGTGCAGCCCATGTTCCCTCCCAGCTGTTTCCTTAGGGATGTAAGCTTGGGAGGTATGTGGTCTATTTTCCAACCAATCACAGGCAAGGGTTTTATTAATTTTTGCTGCTGTTTTATGTGAATCTTAACTTTTCTATCCCCAAATATCTGTTCCCTTGCTGCATGCTCCCAAGGAATACATAACTGAATATTTAGCTTTATGTTAAGGCCAGTATATTAAAATTTCAACTTCCCGAATTGCTCAGGGTAATGCTATTTGTTATACAAATAAGGCTCTAACTTCAGAAGCTAAATATAGTAGAGATTTAATTTTTAATCATTTAACTAATAGAAGGTGTTTCCAAATTATTGCTTTGTTCTAGGCCATAACCCATTTTGGTTCTTTCTTATTCTGTGTCTGTATTTTGTTGTCAATAACTGGTCACAGTTCCTCCCCTGATGCAAAGACTGTTTCTTTGCAACATCTTCATTGGAGGGGGGCACAATGAGTTGTGATGGATGTCAAGTCCTTTCTGTGGCATTCTAGATCTGACAAAGAGTTGTGGCAGATGTCAAGTGGCTTCTGTGGCATTCTAGATATGAACTTCTCTCTCCCTTTTGACAAGGATTTTGTGACTGAAACTATCATGATAAAAATAAAAATGTAATGAATCTAGAAATCATCTCCACTCATGGTAATGTGGATATTTACAGAATTCATACTTATTTTGGCTGTAATAAATATTAGGGATGAGAAACATAGTTCTTTAATATTCTCACCAACTTTCTGTTAGTATGAACTTTTTTAGACTTTATTTTATCTAATAAGAATGGATTACCGGCGTGTGCAGCATTTGCATGTTTTGTGCTCACGAAGGTCAGAAGAACATCAGATTCCATGGAACTCGAGTTAAGGGTGGTTGTAAACCAACATGTGGGTGCTGGGAATCAAACCTTGGTCCTCTGCAAGAACAAGTGCTATAAACCCCTGAACCACATCTCCAGCCCCCAGCTTTGATTATTATAGCAGGTACCATATAAAGAAACATGACAGTTTTACAGACATCAGTTTAAAGTTTATTGGTCCCATTGCCTTGGCAAGGTGGCATATCATGGTGGAAGCACATGGCAGAGAAAAACTACTTCCATCAGGATGCAGGGTACGTGAGCGAGGCACACTGGCTTCTACCATTTTCTAAAGACCTCTGAGTAGGCCCCACCCTTAATGGCTTTACCGTCTCCTGACTGAGCCTTTCTGAGGATTAAGTTTTTATCACATGGGCTTCTGCACAGCATCTAAGAATCAGATTATAGCAGCTATGAGCTAAAGGGTTTGACATGATGAAGAAGAATTTGAAAAGCACCCTGATGACCTTATGTCATTAAAAATGAGAAGATAATTGAAGGTTATTAATGTTCAGTAAATAGCCTATAACATAAAAGCCTTATTACCTATAAAATGTTTAATTCTAGCTTGGAAGGAGGATGTAGCAAACTGAAACGAACCCATGAAAGTCTGTAAGTGTTGGCTGATTATAATGGGAACTGATCCAGATTATTGGTTGTTTCAAATTTAGGACTTGAATATGTGATGCTAATAAGTCATAGGTGAGCTCCATAGGAGGCAGTTTGCCTGTGAAGAAAGCAAGCAGGGAAACAACAACCAAATCCAAGACACCAGCCAACAACAAACATCTGAGAAGTAATTTAGTAACTCTAATTGCTATTGCAATGAGAACAGCGAACAGCCAACACTCTCATTCTCTGGGTCTAGCTCAAAGATGAGTTTAGTAATTTACACTTGTTCGTGTACATGAAACTGTCTCCTATAGACTCAGAAAAATACCAGTGAGATACTTTGTAGAGCCATTAGCAATGCACTGCCGACTTTTAAGTCTCATCAACACATTAAAATATTACTAAAAGGTTCTTCAGTCCTAGAAAACTGTGAACCTAGCTTTGGACTTAGTTTAACAAACCCACTTCAACAGATACTTCTTCATGGCAACTGAGGAGAACGCTGAGAAGGGAGTCTGAGGGATTCAGAGGATCCTAGAGGAAGGTGCTATTTCTGCACTAAGGCTTTTGTCTGTGTCTAAAATCTTTGGATCTATAGACTTTAGTTAGTATTGGGGTTGACAAGTACTAATTCACCAGATGTCTCCCCCGACAGCTGTATGCTCTGAGGATCTTAAGGAAATCTTTTTGGGACACAATACAGAAAGGAGAGTGCCACCTTGACAGTAGTGTCTCTGGAAGCAAAAGGTTAAGAGTTGATATTTATAGGATTTGGAGTCATGAACATTTTAATGACAAGCTTTCAGTGAAGAATAGAATTGATGAAGTTTGTATATAATTTTTTTAGGGTTAATAAACACAGGCTAGAGGCTTACCAGTCATAATAGGTGAGTAGTGAAGGAAGTGATTCATCTGTTCTGAGAAGAGCATTGCTTTTCCAGACAAAGAGAAAAACCAGTATCATTTTGAGGAGGGCACTCAATTGATGATTGAGCCTTTTTTTTTGTCCAGGTAGATTGTTATGGGAAGGTCCTGAGATAAGTACTGAAAAGATTCATTGGTTTGCTGCCTTGTTTTCCTGACTTAAGGAAGTCAGAAGGTCATATGGAATAGAGATATACTTAGTTCTTCACATATTTAAGCCATATGGATGCAGGTGTTCTAGGTTCTCCTGTTTCACTAAGTTATGTTTTCCCCTTAATGTGTTGCACATTGTTAGATCTATAGCGAACTCAACATGACAAACTCCAGTTGCATCTATTTTTCAACTGTTATAATTTTGTATCTTTATACCTGATAAAAACTCTATTGTGTATATGCACCCCATGTTCTTTATTCATTCACTTGTCCATTAAGGGACACAGCTGACTCCCTAACATGGCCATTTTGTTTTCAGGCCTTTATTACTGTGTTCTCCTTACTGGGAGGTCCCTGCTGACCACTTCTTCTAAAACAATTCCTTTTCATCTGCTTGCACTCCACCCACCAGCATTTCTGATCCCCTTTCTTGCTTTACTTCCTCTGGTGGAACTTAGTACTCCTTGGAAAGCCTCATATTTTATTTATGTATCTTGTACCATGTTTATGTCTTAAAGTTATTTATCTTTAATAGAATTCTGCTTGAGTACAATTCCACAATTGTACAAATTTGTTAATTTGTCTATCTTGATTTATGTATCTGGCTGTTCCCAGAAGCAATGAAAGAAGGCTGTAGTGAGAATTTGAATTGTACCTGCTTGACCCTCATAGCAAAATTAAGCAATCAGTGGTTTATTCATATGTGTTTTTTATTTTATATCCACAAGTCTAGATACTTGTCCCACCCCTACTCAAAAATATGCTGAGTTAGTAAAATTGTATTATGTTGTGACTATCTAGACATGACCTAAATAAGAACAGCAGCAATAGATATGCTCAGAATAGGGGATATAATTGTATCCAGTGAAGAGCATATCAATTAATTTTCCATGCCAATCAATGGTCAACAGAATGAGCAGTGTTTTTATGTAGTTAGGGATGTACATATAACAAAAATTAATGAAAATGAGACCATAAATTTGAAAAGAGATCAAGGCAAGAGCTGTATAGCAACATTTGGAGGGAGGAACAGGATGGAAGAATGATAAAATTACAACTTAAAAAATAAATAATTGAAAACAAAAATATATTGTACACATTTTATACCATATGTATGTATGTGCATTATATGTGTATATACACATATATATTTAAAAACAGGTTATCAGGACACCACATGGGAGAGAATTTGAGGATCCCTTCGACAGGTGTGAAGAATGTCTGAGCCCAAGGACATGCAACAAGCCCCAGCATTCTGCAAGGACCTTACTCGTCCACTCAGCACCCACAGCAGTGCCAAAGCATTGTCCAAGCCCTGTGCTAAATAGAGCCTCTCTCAGGGAAAGGTAAGTGTAGTTTCTTTTTCTCCTCATCTTTTCTTTTTTGAACAGAAAGATCATGAGTTCAAGGCCAGCCTGGGCTATACTTTACATCTTTTGAATATTTGGCATTAGAAACAGAAAACAGCATATTCATATGAAGTAATTGTTTATAAAATTAAATTTTGATTTTGAGGCTTAAAGTGATTGTTTGGAATAGATTATATATCGTGTCAATATTTGTTCCTAGCATAGTTCACTTGAAGTGAGTTTGTTAGCCAGATCTGGACTCTATTCCTAATTAGTTAATGTAATTCTTAAAGTGAAAATCTGAATTGTGATAGGTTGTTTTAGTAGACTCATAGTAGTTTATATTATTGATTTCCGTAAGTATAGAAATAGCCCAGGCTAAATTTTCCAATTCGTCTCAGTGGTGAAGCATGCATTGTTGTGTGGCATCTGGCTTCTCATTTACCTCCTGCCAGCAACCCAAGAGAATCTAAACACAGAAGAGTCAAGCTCTCCCTCTAGCAATGCTTGCATCCTGTGTCTGAAGGGTTGTTATATGTGGGCATGAGAAAAAAAAACCCACCATTTTTATATGAAACTGTTCTTTTCCCATTTAAAAAATCTAGGTTATTTAACAAACTTTTACAGAAAATTGAAACTTGGAAGATATATTTTAACACCTCGACTCTCACATTCCTTGACTACAGATGGCATAAAAAAGTAGCCACTGAATTCTTAAAGATTAAGTTCATTCACCAGATATAATTACAGTGATTTAATTAGCTGCAGAGACTATATCAATAGTCCATCTGAAAACAGTTATCTTGAACAAGATTATTGCTGCAGCATTTAAGCATTTTATCTGTTTCCTCATTAGCTTTGTAAGCGTTTGTACTGGGGGAGGGGAGGAGGGAGGGAGAAGATGTGAGCATGGATTTGATGCTGGCTTCTTGATAGTGAGATACAGAACATCTTTAATTTAATTGTTTTTTTTTTTTTGAGAATTTCAGGCATACCTACTACATTTACGTCATTCCCTCTCCTCCCTCCCTACAGCTCCTCCCATGTCTCTCCCACTCCTTAAATTCATGACCTTTCCTATAATCATTATTGTTACACACACATGTGGATGAATATATACCAAATGCATTTAGTGTTTCTCATATATACATGTGTTTAGTGCTTGGGATTATGTCACCTATAGGTGTCTCTTCCTTGGAGAAATCTGACTCTCCTTCCCCTTAGTGGCCACTGATTTCCTATAACTCTTCACCTAGGGCTTGAGCCTTGGAAAATTTCCCCCATCCATGCTGACACGTTTCCCAGTGCTGTCATTAAATGAATGACAATTTCAGGTTTGGTGTTTTTAGGTCACTAGCAATATATTTGGTGTTGATACAATCTATTGTAGTCATGAAACAGTTGCAAATGAAACTGATACAACTGTGTATTGGATATCCCAGTCCAAATTGGAATTTTTGTCTAAAAGTTGTATGTCAGAGGCATAGCTTCACCCACTAAAAAATTACCTCCAGAAATTGCCATGCCATAAAATGGTTTCAATTTTGTTTGTCAGTATTTCAGAAGCACATTTTTCTCTTAAGTATAAATATTATTATGACTCCATATTTGCTTTACACTTTACAATGTTAATAAAATCAGACTTAGATATTAGCATACCTAATTAAAAGGGAATTGGTACCCTTTTAAATCATGCTTAAGTTTTTTCTTTTGTAAACCATATTAAAGATTGTGAGGCAAGCATTCCTTATGCCATAGCACAGACTAGTGGATCTGCTCTTGGGAGGCCCTGGAGTTGCACAGTTGGATCTTAGATTTCCACAATGGGCTTCATGTACTGAAATAATTGTTCTGCCAATCCACTTCCATAGGTGCAGCAAATTTTCCTTTTATCTATGTGAGAGATTGTTTGAGATTATCTACTAAATTGATTGTCTATTAGGATTATGTCCTTTAAAGTACATTACTTAAGCCATTCACCTATTTAATAATCTGTACCAAGTATAATAATGCAATATTCTAATTTGTAAGAACAAGCTGAGAAAAAAAAGGGGACAAAATTTAAGTAATGTATTAACTTACTTCCTATTTCTTTATAGGGGAATTATCAATAACACTTCAAATATATGCATTATAATTAAGGGTATCAGGAAATTTTCATAATGACCTGAATAAAATAAAATAGCTTAATTATATGAATGTCAATTTTGAGTTAAGGAAGATCAGAAAGAAAAGAAATAGATGTTTCATTTCTTCTCTGACATTTTAAATTCCAATACAGTCTCAAATTAAA